TATTTAATGTTCGGCTCCGCCCGAACTTAGACTTTCTTACTTGTTAAAATATATAATGGTTATTTAAGAGAAAACATTTTTGCGAAAAATTATCTAGCTTGGTGGCGCCAGGGTCGAGATATTTGGAAAAGCCGTATTTATGCTCGGATTTGTTTCAAATTTAGCATGTTTAGTTGAAACGTAGTATAGCATAGATTTGCAAAAAATAATATGCAGGTTTTCTTCGCGTCAAAAATTCTTTCAAAAAATACCTTTTCAATGGAAATTTTAGTAACCTAACTTCTGTTTTTTGTAACGTCACCCCAGCGCATATCTTTAAACCTCCACTACCAACAGTTGTAATTTTTTTTTACTGAATAAAGGGTCATTTAATTACTATGTAAATTACAATGTTTTTTAGCGACTATTTTCCTTTACTCCCACCTCGAAATTTTGTGGGAATACCTAAAACAAATCCCTGAAAGTATTAATACTAAGTGCTCTAGTAATGATTGATTGTTTTTCTTCAAAAGGCTATAGGTCAGAGACATTTTATGGTATAATCATGGTCAATGATGCGGTTTCTTCAGAATTGAATGCTGTATAAAAGTGTGCATTGCGGCGCACAGTGTATCATTTCCATATTCTAGAGAAGATTAATTACATTATTTTATGTCGCCAAATTTCAAAACAACGTCAAGAATGTTTTTAGAAATGCCTGATAAAGATGAAACAATAACAACTAAAAAATTTAAATCAAAGTGTATGGCGGGACGGGGTTTGATTTGGAAAATTACTGAGGGCAATAATATTTAAACTTGTATATTTAAAACTGAATCTCAATGTTTAATTTGACGGTGTTATGTGATTTATGCAACAATTGCTAAAATATCATTTTGGTCTTATTTTTTTAGGTAAGATCCTTTTAATGAATATGCATTTTTGGGAATTTAGTAAACTAGGACTGAGTATTTCAGTTAAAGTAAAACGATGTTGACTTAGACTTATTTTTAGCAAACTATTATTTTTATTAGACCCGAAAACTCGTTATCCGCCACTATTCGATAAAGTTTGTATCTCAGTTTATTTGCCACTCCTCTTAGACTTGAAACAACACAATTTTAGCTGCTGGAAAGTGCAGGTTTTGATGAAATTTTCTTTTTTCTGGCCTACTGGGAATTTCATTTTCTTCGAGTAATTCATTTGCATTTTATCTCGGTCGAGACAAATTCTTGTATTTTTGCTTTGAATAGAAGAAGCCTGATTCATTACATTTCCAATGGTATCCCATTTTTGTAAATAGAGCAAGAAATATTGAACTTATAACGGAATTATGTTGACCCAACTTGACTTTTTT